AATTTGAATAATCTCTTGGCAAACAATCATATAAACCAAAAAAAAAAAAAAGAAAAAGCGGAGCTGGGTTCTGGGTTCGGTGGAACCCAACAACTGGGTTCAATGACCCGAGGAAGAAAGAAGAGGAAGAAAGAAGAGGAAGAAAAAAAAAAAGAAAAAGAGAAAGGAAGAAGATGAACGAATTATTTTAGTTTATTTTTTAAAAATATAAATAGTAATAATGTGAGTTGGCATGAAAAAAAATTCCACGTCAACATGTTTTCAATTTGCTTTTGTCACGTCATCAAAAAAATAATAAAAAATGCCACGTGAGCGAGTTAATGATTGAAATTAGCAGAAGGACTAACGGAGTGCATTTCGTATAGTTAAGGGATCAAAAAAGTGCAAAAAATTGTTAAGGGACCAAAAATGTGCAACTCACTAAAGTTGAGGGACCAAATTTAGCATTTAACCTTACTTAATTTATTAAATTTAAATTTAAGATTTTATATAAAAAATATTTTCATCTAAATTTATGATTTTATTTTATTTATATTTTATTTAAATAAAAAAATTAAATTATCAAATAAATCAAAAATCTAGGTCAAATGTTAAATCCCTTACCATGTAAGCATGACATGGCAATATTTTGCCATCCAAGCAGCCAAGCAGGGTGTGTCCTCAACGGCAGTTAAGTCAGGCGAGCAATCCCAAACGGCAGTTAAGCTGGCGTAAGAAGAAGGGCTTAATTGCTTTGCTCCCAGAGTTCAAGGGCTTATATGCATCAATTAAAGTTTAAGGGCTTAATAGCAATTCTAGGGTTAGTTCAGGGGCTTAACTTATGGTTTTGCCTAGTTTGTATTGAAATGTACCATCCATTCAACTCCCATCAACTGGCTTTACGGAAAATCCACGCTGGCGCTTCTTTGGCCCCAGCTGGGTTTACTCTGAAATTAAGTTAAAAATGCAATTATTAGAGACAACTAAGGTGTGTTCTTCTCCAAAATTCCGTCTTCCATCAGTTATTCAAATCAGAGGAAAAATCAAATTAACTCGCAGCCATCGGAAATCATAATCATGAATTTAGTATTTAAATGTCATTAAATGAGTTAATGACATGCATAAAACATTTTTATATTAATTTTTTATATAATTTTTACATATTATTAAATAAATAAATACATATAATATTACGGATCTTAATATAATAAAACAAGTTAATCAATAAATGACATGTAAGATTTTATAAAAAAGTTATGTATTTTTTTTAAATAATTATTTTAAAATATAAGACTCATGATATAGTTTATACTATATTATTTAAAATATTAAAAAATAAATTATATATTATTTAATAATTAATTCTTTTTATATTTTTTTGAAACCTATGATATTAGATACACATAAAACACGTCATTAGTCTCAAGTTTTTATTCTAAATTTTTGTTCTCTCTATTAATTATCTTCTACTTGGAGAGTTTTATTTTGGTTAGGTTGGAATTGATTTTGTTTTAATTACTGTAGATAGGATTTAAATAGAATTTGAGTTGATGTAAAAAGTCACTACTTTTTTCATCTTACAGTAACTGTCATTTTTTTTTTTATAAATTATTTATCTTTTTTTAATTTTTAAGATAAATAAATATCTTTTATTTTAACTCTATTATTTTTTATTTATTTTAATTAATTATTTAATAAAAAATCTTTTTTCATCTTTTTAGTTTTTTTGAAGAGTAATGTAAGTAAATATATAAATTGTTTCTAAATATTTAATTTAAAAAATAAATTAAAAAATAATTATTTTAAGATAAGAGAAGTAGTAATTTTTAGGAGTAGTATTTTTTATGGGATTATGAGTCCTAATTCATTAACATTTTTATCAAGTTTAAAATTTTTTTCATAATTAATTTGACACATTGCCGAATTAAATGAACCGGAGTCTTACTTCATTACTTTGACTACGTGGCACTTATTGAGCAACTTGTGTGGCGCACATTGGCGCCAACAAGGATTTCCGTCTTTCAAACCAACGGAAATGGTTTTGATCGAAGAGGTTGATGTGTTTTTAAAGCAAACAGTCTAAAATAAATATTCTAGACCAAAACGATAAAAGATTGGCAAAAAAAAAAAAAAAAAAAGTGATATAAGGACCCAAGCCTGTGTAAAATTTATAATTTTGGATCCAAACTTCAATTACTTTAATTAAAGCCTTAAATTATATGAAATTCTCAAATAAGATCTTAATTGGATGAAATGTTCTTTTGATGCCAGTTAACAATGCATCACTCTCTCATCCAACTAGATCGCTAAGTGAGAAAAACATACTGACTTGTCATTGTCATGTGGATGCTACGTGAATGTCATAGGTGAGTCCCAACTGCTTTTGAGGAAAATCCCACTGAAGAAAATTCACGTGGCACCATGTGGCATCCACGTGGCACCATGTGGCATCCACATGGCAATGATACGTCAGCATGTTTTTCATGTTGGCAACCTAGTTGGTTGAACGGTTAATGGCATCTAAGATATTTAACAGCAAGAGGATATTTCATCTAATTGGGATCTTATTTGAGAATTAATTGAGTACAATTGAAGTTTAGGTTTGAAATTGAAAATTTTGTGCAAGTTCAGGACTTTTTTCCATACTTGTGCCGATTGTTAAATGGCAAAACCATAAGTTAAGCCCCTGAACTAACCCTAGAATCATTATTAAGCTCCTAGACTTTAATTGATGCATATAAACCCTTAACTTCTGGGATCAAAGCAATTAAGCCTTACGCCAACTTAACTGCCGTTTGGGACTGCTCGCCTGACTTAACTGCCGTTGAGGACACACCCCGCTTGGCTGCTTGGATGGCAAACTATTGCCATGTCATGCTTACTTGGCAATGGATTTAACATTTGACCTGAATTTTTTATTTATTTGATAATTTAATTTTTTTTATTTAAATAAAATAAAATAATACATTTGGGTGAAAATATTATTTTATAAAATCTTAAATTTAAATTTAATAAATTAAGTAATAAACATTAAAATTTGTTTTATGTAATTTATTGTGATTTGATTTTAAATTAATTGAGATTAATATAACTTTTAAATTTTGAAAGTTTAATTTAAAATAGTATCACTTAAAATAATAAATTTAAAATTATATGATATATGATATTAAATAAATATAATAAGAAAAAAAATTGTATATCAGTTCTAATTTTTAAAATAAATTAAAGTTTTAAATTTAAAGTAAATACCTCATTTTATCTAATTAAAATT